GCAGCCCACTCCTGTGCTTAACAACTTCTTCCATGAAGAAATTCTTCCTGATGTCTAACCTGAACCTCTCCTAATGCAGTTTGAAACCATTTCTTCTTGTTCTGTTCACTATGATACAGATTAAACTTAACTAAAACAGTTTTCAATACACTTTGGTCCTATCAATTCTCCTGTTCAGTCTGGGATATCTTCAAAATCATAGGTGCTAGACTAAGTTATGTAGAACAGAGTTGGAAGTGGGGTTCCACCTAAAGCAATGGATATTAGTAAAATATCTGTTTTGCTGGTAAAACATAAAGGTATGCTTGTGTGAACTGCATCTGAGGATGTTTATGGTGGGTTTTAAATGTATTTGTGATCCTGTGTTTAAATAAAGGAAAGCAGGTTCTTACCCAATATATAAACCATCCTTTTATATCATGAATTGTGTTTGATCTATTAGAGCATAATTGGTTTGAGGATAAAGTCTTTGAAGGAAGATTAATATATATTTAGATAATTACAAAATTATCTTCATTCCTTTACATTATGCATAGTTTGAAAAATGAAATGGTACAAATAGCTGAAAGCTTTTACTTTAAAAAACTCAAAACTTTTCTTTGAAACCTTTGGAACCTAAAGTAGAAATGATATTGAATACTAAAAGATTCTTTGGTCATAAAGGTCATACTTTTGGTCATACTACACTAGGTGACTGTGCTGAAAACATGATTCTCCTTACTGGAAACAGTTTTAAAGACACAGAAGATGAGTAGGAAGAGGAATGAGCTGATCTACACATATTCACCTCATATCTGACTTGACTTTTTTTCTTTCCAGTGTTTGTTATTTAATTGGGTGTATTTTAACTACATTGTGTTGCAAGAGATCATGATATAATTCATAAGAATGTCTGCAATAAAAACTACCATTTCCTAGAGGCATTGTTTATTTTAATGTCTTCCAGGATTTTTTGTGGGTTTTGAGACATTAGCAATTAGTATAAACCTAAAGTAAAACTCAGTTAAAACCAGAATAATGTGAAACTAGAATAGGTAAGATTTTTTTTCTCTCTCTCTGCATGCTTTAAAGGTGTTTGTCACAGAAATGTCTGAATATTAACATATTTCAGTTTTATTAGGTATATACTTGTCCTTTGCTCTGTGACTTTCTGAGAATTTTCCAGGATGAACTTTTGGATGATTTTATTAGCTGTAAATACTATGTGACTGGAATTCTTAGAGATTTATTATGCTCAAATACCTATAGTAATTTTAAAATGAATTTATCAAGAACATTTCAGAAAGTGAAAAAAACCCTTCTTTTAAAAAGTTCATTAAAACAGTAGTTTTTCCATCATGAATATTCTCTTAGCCTTTTTAAAAAGATAATCTTTTCATAAAAACATTTCACAATGAACAATGGATGGTTATAGACAATCCAGTAGGGTAGTAGTTGGATTATGTGACTGCCTCAAAAGAGTTCTTTCCCTATTCTGCCTTTTATACTCTTAGTTTAAAACAGAATCTCTGAAGATGCAGTTATTTAAAAGGAAGTGTTCTTAATTATTACAAGTACTATTCTTGGGTGCTGTTGCTGCTGTAATATCAATTTCTGTGTAAGTCAAGTCTATTCGGTAGTGAACCCATCTACTTTGTGCATTTCAGTCCAACTACTTAGACTTTGATCACCTCACACTAATGTGTTTGTCTAGAGCAGAGCGTAGCTTTTCAGTGAAAGCATGCAATAAAATTGGGGGCTTGGTATTACAGGCACATTTTGGACAGGACAACTGCTTGGCTTCTGTCTTCTTTCCTCTTAGGTTGCAGTTACACTGGCAAAGAATAAATTGCCAGAAGTGACCGGAGGGGAACTGAGGATACACTTTCAGTTCACTGTTCACATTGTATGGGAAACTACCAAACTTTCAGACTCCTCTCAGGGCAGACAGATACACTGTTTTTCAAACCAGTTCCTTGGTAGGCTCAGGACATAACTCTAACAATAGGATCACCTTACCCTAAAGAAGAGCTCTCCTGCTGTTAAATTGTGTTGTAATGAAAATTCTGATCATGTGAGGTAAAGGATTAGCATCTGTCGTTTTGGGTTGCCTGATTTGCAGCTAGACATTAGCAGTAAGTTCTCCTAGAAGTAATATGTTCTTCTCATGTAAAATTCCATGTAAAGGAAACCACTGTAGAATCAATGCAGAGTAATATGAAATGCAGTAATTCAAATGTTGGTACTTTCATAGGGAAGATTAGTTTCTCAAGATGTAGATAATTTTGAAGGTCAAAGCAGCAGATAAGAAAGAAGATTGCTGGAGAGTGCATTAATAAAAAATGCTTCTCCATTAGTAATTCTGAAGCATCCTTAAGATAGGACAATCTGGATTACCCTGTGTGTTTCGGGCTTTACCTTACAAGGGATTTTATGACCTTCCTATAAGCTCAGACTGTGCGAGAATCCCAGCAGGTCACGGTGCCCTGTAAACTTAGATCAGGTGGAGACGTCCTTCTGGAATCCCGACCTCAGTTTCAATATAGTAGTTAAAAAGTGTGTACAGCCTGGATGAGAGAGAACCAAAGCAAGCACTGCTGAGGCTGTTAGTCACACCTGCTTGATGTCATTTACATGCTTCATCAAGCATGGAACCATATCAAGCCCATAGCTGTGGAACATTGCTTTTAAATTCTGCTGCTTCATTTGAGGAAGAAAGGATGGATATTCCCTTACTTGCTGAATGGAGCTTGTTTTGTGAATAAGAAAGATCTAAACAGGTTTTTTGTTGGTTTGGGTTTGTTTTGGCGTTTTTTAGTATGACCGTTTTGAATGTAGGGGCTACTAAAGAAATGCTAGATAATTAAAAAGAAGTAACAGATAACACTGAAGTCTACTTCAGGGTAACCAGTAGGCATGATCATAGAGTATTTGTGCCCAGGTGTGCTGTGGTGTGTTTACACCTCAAGCGAAGTAATAAGAATTTTCTTTTTGTTTTGTCTCTAGTCATGGAAAACACTGAGTCTGAACCAGTGCCAGCTTCTAGAATTCCATACACCACTCCTTATATCTTTGAGTTACACATCTGTCTCTGTCCCATGCTTGCATAGCAGGTCTGTGCTGCCCTTTATTGCAGTTTAATTGGGAATGTTGGTCTAACCATACAGTTTTCACCTGGTAAACAGCTGAACATGGAGGCTGCACAGGAGTACTGACATGCATAAATGTACAGTCTAGGAGCACGTGGAAGTAATGAGTGTTTTCCTTAGAAAAATATGAAGGTCAATGGTGTTTCTGATAAAAATGCAGATTAATGTTGTTTTTAATTAAAACTTTAATATTTTTCCAGACAAACCATTGTTTTTATCAAATATTTTATATATCTTTTATCTTAATGTGGGTTTGTGTAAGTTGGTGCAACATTCCCATGCTCAAATTGGCTGTCTGAAAAAAATTTTATCATGCTATTTTATTGGTTTTCAGTTTGTTTTTTATTCAGACTTGATACAACATGTATATGTGACAGTGTATCCATATGTAGTATCCTCTCTGTAGCATCTGGCTTTCTGACTTAGTGAGTGTGTACATAACAATATTAATAGGAGTAATATCTCCACTGACTTTTGATTAGAGCTGAACAAATGTTTTAGCAAATAACTTATTTGAAAAAGGGTTGCCTTCAGGACTACTGTCTTTAAGAATGGGTTGAATTTAGAAAATTGTCTACATTCTCATCTTTTTCTTCTTCTTAAAAGAAGTGGGGGAAAGTAATAAAAGCAAAGTAAGCCTTTCAAAATAAAGTATTTCAGAATTTATATATGATTTTTGGAGATTATTAAGATCAAAATGTTTTTAATTCATACATGAAGCCGAATAATCCATTATTGCATGTATTTAGGATTTCTTGCAAGTAGGTTAGTCACATGCAGATTTGCAGGAGCATGGTTTAACTACAGTTATTTGAGTGTGCGGCTTTTATTCTAGTTAGAAATATCTAAATATCTTAATGATTAAACATTTGTGAGTAAATCTCCTGTGAAAGTCAAAACCACTAGGCTTTATAAAGTATACTGTAGGTGGAGTTGTGCAAGTTTCCTTGTGGAGCTCTGCCAGTACATGGGAATCTGAATCTGAAAAGTCCTCTTTGTTCAGATACTGGACTCCTCAAAATCAGATTTTTGGTGTGGCAAATAAAAATGAGTTTTCAGAACTTATTTTGCTTTAAAAACAAAACTTTTTTCAAAGCTAGTGTCTCACAGAGAAAATCCAGTGAGCTTAACTCTGTGTTGCCTGGCATTTCTGTACTTGAGAAACTGTTCTCCAGTGAAGCAGTAGCATTTTTCACTGTCATGTTCAACGATTTTCAGATTTTTTTGTATCTTTTCTTTTTAAGATGTTTTCTTAAGTATACAGCTGAGGAGACCAATAAAAGATAAATCCATAGATGATGAAAGGATTTTCCTGAGCTTAGTAGTTAACATAATAGTCTGAAAAGAAAGGAATTTACAAGTACTTGTTCAAGTGTGCTATGTAGAGAGTGAATAAAATAAACAGCAAGATGTGTTGTGATAGGAACTCAGATGATCAAAGGGACTACTGAATAGGAATAGTTATTCTTTCAGATAAAATAAGGAAGTAATTCCTTTGTGAGTTTTTGTGATCATTTCTGTTGGAAAACTTTGTATGCATTACTTGGAAATTCAATGAAGAGAAAAGCAATACAGCCTAGATAATAGTGTCAGCTTTGAGCACGAGATGGCATGTGGACATAGCTTGAGCTACTTCTCCAAATCATTTGAATGGAAATATTGGATTAGTTAACCTTGTGTCAGGTCTGTTAGTTAAATAAACCCTCCAACTGTTCCTGACTGAAGGATGCATAGTTGTGACTGAAAGATGCTGCTGCTTTTCATTAGAATTTTGTCAAACATACCCTGCTAACATAATGATTTTAAAATAAAATGGTTTATTCGATGGAAAAGGATAACAAGCAGAAAATTCACAGCCTTTTCTTTTCACAGGGTGCTTCAGCCCAGTAGGAAATCCTCTTAGTCGAACACTATTGGGTAGACTACAGAAGGTAAGGAATTCTCTCTTCGCATTTTTTTTAAATTGCTGTTTAACTATAAAATGTCATTATTCACAAGTTCTCATTGTAGAGAGGTGTTTTTTTATCCTGTCTTTATTCAAAAAAGAGGTATCTTCAAACCAATTGTCTACATGGCCAAATTAGCTTATGCTGTGACCAGCTTGTAGTGGTATCCGCAGGTATCCGCAGATCAAAAGCTTTATATTTTTTTCATGATTTAATTTTTGTTGTTTAGAAATAAAATAAAATCACACTCCCATGGTTTTTGTTTTTACTAAGAAAACAGGTGTTGATGAGTAGCTGAGAGAAAAGCTAAGACAATAACTTAGAATGAAATTCTCATTGCAGCACCATGTTTTCATTGTTTACTCCGACTTCATCTTTTTGTGACAAGTTAAATCACATCTATCCTCTGTTTATTTAATTGCTTATCTATTAAATATTGATTGTAAGCTTCTCCTAATTATATTTGTTCTTTTCTTTCTTTCTGGTTTCCTGATCATCATCATAAAATCCAATAGAATCTGTAAATGCCATTAATTGCAACTATACATTTGATGAATCTGTATTAAACACAAAATGAAGGGAGAAACTAGTGAAGAAAGAACAAGTAATGCTTCTGAATACTGAATGCATTTTTGTCTCCATGAAGCTGGGCCTGTTGTATTGGAGATGTTAATCCTCCTGCTCCCATAGACAAAATGCCATGGTTTAATATTCTGTTGTAATTTCACTAATTTTAATTCTTGAGAGAAATGTTATAAATGGACATAAATTAACTTGGTTCATTTATATCTGTTTTGCAGTTTCACTTTGGGGTTTTATTAGGAGTGCTTTAGGATTTTTTTGGACATACCTTTTTTAACAGATTCTGTTAAGACAGTTGTGGAAAGCTCGTAAGATACATAGGATTCAACAAGAAATTTTGAAAGCATGGTTTTATGTTGGTGTTGTGTTAGTTGCTAAATTATTCCTGTGTTCGTGTTTTCAAATTTTTAGCCATCAATATGTAATTTTTTAGGGAAAAATATATATTGTTCAACCAGTTACTGTAGTGTTCTCCACCACAGCAAGCTTGATAAACATTTGCAGGGCCAATTTTTTTCTGAAATGCTAGGTAGCAGATACTTTAAAGTAGTTTTTTCTGAGAGGGCTAAATTAAGGTTTTGAATATATTTTTTACTTCTTCTATTATAAACACATTAATATATATAAGTGCAAGTTAACCAAGTAATTAATATAAAAAACTGGCATTTTTAGAAATAGGAAAATACTTGAAGAGATTTTGAATCATTTCAGGAGCTGGAGTATTTCACGTGCTTTTAAATTGATCTTTTTCCCTTTTTTCTTTTCTCTCTCTTTTTTTTTTTTTAAATCCTTGTAGGTTTTACTGCAGCAGCTGTGTTTGCATTTCTGATTTCTGTTTGTACATTGCAGGTTTCAATAAAGTGCAGCCTGGTGCAGTTTTGGTCCTTTCTTCCTCTAGGCAAATTATAGATTCCCATGCTTATTAAATATTGAAGGGCTGTAATCAAATCAGGACTGTAGTCATCTGAAGCCTAAGGAAGTAACTTTACAGTGTCTACAAACAGATTAATTATGAGTGAAGAGGAGTTTATAATTCTTACTAATTGATACTTTTAACATAATTTTAATTTAGCTATTAATACAAGTATTTCTATTTCTGTTTCCCATAGACTAAATTTGTAGTTAGTTGTCCTGAGCTAGGACCAGAGAACAAGAACAGGACACAAAAGTGCTAAGAGTATCCAGCTGTTTTCTTCCAAGTCTCATCTTACATAGCATTTAATTTAAAACTTCACTTACTGGAGTAAAGAGATTGCATAGCATTCTTAGGGGAGGAAACAATTAAGTAAATCTCTAACCTTTAGGATCTTAAGGAAAAAGAAATACAGTAGAGCAACAGTAAAATCTCAGATTTCTTTTGTAGAATATTTGAATGTTTTGCATATTAACTTTTAAGCCAACCAAGGATTTTCAATCAGGCCCTCTAAGTTAATTTCTTATTCTTTCTCCCTAAAAAAAAAACCAAAAAAAAAAAAACCAAGAAACCAGCAAAAACCAAAAGCAGCAACAAAAGAAATCCGCAAAAGGTAACAGCCTTCGAATGTTGGCTATTTCACACTGAGGCACAGATTTACTGGACAGACAAGAGAAGCTGTAACATACACTCCTTGTGTGTTTCCTGGAGTGTTTGCATAAGTAATATTCCCAGTTTCTCGTACACTGTGTCAGATAGCAGGTATGGGGGGTCGATGGGAGCAGAGCTACTGTGAAGCATCTAGGAAATAGATGTTTGTTCTTCTTCATGTTCCTGAGTCTGTCACTGATGGGAAAAGGAGGGAGGGTGGCTTTGGCCCTGTGGCATACACACTGACATTCACCCTGGTATCTGTAGGGTCTGTCTAAAATTAGTCTTAGAAAGGCTTATTTTCCTAGTGTTGTTATTAAGGCTTAATGGCTAATTAGAAGTGGCTTAATCTGTATGTTTATTATGTTACAATGAAGAATATGTTTACATATAAGGAAGAAGCATATGAAACTATATGAATCATTAGACTTTAATTTTTTTCTTTAAATTTTGATATTGTGGTAATTGAAATATATTGGTTCAGTAGTAAAAAATGAAATGCTGTGGTTTTTACAGAAAAGAAGCAATAAGATATCACTTGTTCTTTCTCAGTGCTCCTTTTCCTAAGGGAATGAATGCAATCTATTGCCCAAATCCTGTTGGGTAGTCTATACTATACATAAATCTATACTATGCATAAATATATAGTATACTATACATCTGCACTATACATCTGCATCAAAAAACCAAAAGCTCCATTTGAGCAGTCACTGAAACTGATCCATTGAAAAGAAGCCATAAACATTTTAATTAGGGCTATTATTAGGAATCTAAAACCTGATACAACAATGTATCAGGTTACGCTCACGTACAATGTTCTCTTTTGTGTCAGCATCTTGAAACACTTTTATTTGGTTTTCAATTAGGAATGTCAAGGGTATCTAAGTGGGTTTATCATGGATAAGCAGTGTGATACTCCATGGTCTAGAACTCTGCATCAACTGATGGATCTATGTATCTGCCTCTGAGGATGTTCCTTAATGCTGAAAACTGCTAACAGCTTTGTTCAACCACAATCAGTGTGACATGGCACACTTTTTCAGCAAGCATTATGTTTGTTTCTCACAGATGGTGTGCCTCCCAAAAAGACCAGCTCCTCAGAACATAGCTATATCTCCACAACTGTTCCAGTGTGAGAAAAGGATTAACTAATTTCCATCCCACATGAAAAAAAGAGAATTTATATTGTATCGAGAATGATGTGTGCATACCATTCAGCATGCCTGAAACAGCTGAACGGCTGTTAGTTTTTGTTGAGTGTTTCTTGTGGTGTAACTGGTACTTGGCACTATTTGAGGAATGGCTTGGCTCTTCTTGAGGGATGGTACTGCACACCAGAGGCAGCCTTGCAGTCGCTGTGTGTGTGGAAGGCAGCCATGGCAATTGCCCTGGACAGCTGGAGGTAGAGGTGTGTGCAGCCAGTGACGTACTCAGAGTACCTCTTTCAGAGGCACCTCGTTGGATTATTGTTGCCTTAAAAGTTTGAGGCAGTGTCTGAGAACATTCAGCGTAGTCTCAGGGTGACTCATAGATGTTAGCTTGTTATTTCCACACAACTTGCTCTCTTCAAGCTGTTCTCGAGTGTTTAAGAGCCACATAAATACTTTATTAAAAAAAAGAGAGACAGACAGATTGAGACACAATAATGGGGCAATATGAGTACCTGAACTAGATACCTAAATAATACTGCTAATAATTCTGATGATTCATTTTTGAGCAACAGGAGGCACTCCCATCCCACAGGCTAAGCACATTGCCTGCACAGTTCTCTTAACCTTGAGAGTGGAAAATGAGAATTAGCTGAAACCTGTACAGAAGTGCTGACTACCAAAAGACCACTGAACAAGCAGTGTACTCTAAACTGCAGCTCCACCAGTCTTTGTTCAAAATTTATTTATAAAATCAGGCAGTTACACTTTTTTTTTGTTTTCCTTCTATGCATGTACATAATTATTCAGAACTCTTTAGGTAGTAGGCTTAGATGTTCTGGTAGATGATAAGAACTGAGTGCAACTGTTTGCTTTTATACTGAGTTCATCTGTAGCTGCTGTGTCTGTAACTACCATGTCAGTACCAAAACAATCTGGAGACTGGATGGACTTCAGGATAGTCAGTGATTTCTCTCCCATGTTGGATAAGCCCAGCTAAATTATGAAAACAGCACTGGGGGCAAGAATCCCTGTTCTCAAGAATGACATTTATTCTACTGAGGATTTGCCAGGATTTTTCTCTGCAATTTGTAATAATGTTGATTGTACCACCATAATAAAAAAAAATTAAAATCCCCAAACATTTAAAATAAAAAGAACAGTACATCTTAAATGTATTTTCTAAAAGCATGAGAAAAAAGTTTGTGCAAAAGATATAAAGGAGTGGCTGTAAAACATGAAAGAGATGAAGTATGTTGGATTAAAATTTTCAGATTTAAATTGTTATAATGCAGTATATCTGTTAGAGGTGGAAATGTTTGCTTCACAAAGCACACATTTGACGCTTCAAAAAATATTTTAATTGCTGTGTAATTTTTCTATTCTGTGTGGTAGTGTGTATCCTTTGATGCACACAAAATAGAGGGGAAATTGGTTTCCCCTTTGTGAAGATGGACCATTGAAAAAAAAATAAGTAACACCAGCAAAGGACTTCCAGCTCTTTTTTTTTTTCCCCTAATTTGTTGCAAAGGACTTCCAGCTCTTTCATTTTTTCCCCTAGTTTTTTGTTCCTCTCTTAATTTTCATAATTTTTCTATTCAAAATCTTCTTTCAGTTTAAGCATTTGATTATTTTACAGAAATTTTTTTTTTAAGGTACAGCTTATCCTGATTATTGCAATATATACCTACTGTTCTTTTGAGTTTGTTGAAAGTCTGAGAAGCAAGTAAAGATAGAACAATTAGAATTAAAGTACTGGTTATTAAGACCAACCTAAAATTCTCCATTATATGGAAGTGACATCTTTTGCATACTAGTTCAGAGGTAAAGTTCACTCAACAGCTTCTTAAATATGTGCTGTAGTGATTATAATGCAAACAAGCTTGGACTGCATAGTCATCAGTCCAGTTGTGTTTTTAGTGCAGTGTACATACTTGAAAAATTTAATATCTTTTTCTAAACATCTGCCAGCCAATACCCAATATTACTCAGTGTTGCTTAACATCACTTCTGCTTTTTCTTTTTTGAAAAAAACATTTTGTTGCAGATAATTCTTACTGTCTTACTGGAGAAATGAAAATACAATCATAGTTTAGCAAAATGCTTCATATTAAAATTTAAAACAACTTATTCCTCTAGAGTGATGACAGCCTGACTGCACTGGGAGTGGGAGGAGGAAACAGTTGTCCACCCGGGCAAGAGACAGTAAGTATTATGTAATTTTTTGCAATATCTTCTGTACCTGTTATACTGTATTTGTTTTTGAAAGCATGCCCTTTTTTTTAGCATGATCCTAAGGATATTTTTTTCCTACTGTAGATTTTGTAATTCTTACAAAGATGTTCATAACTGCATAACTACATTACTTCTGGGTTTATGTCAATCTTGAAAAACAATTTAGTAAAATTTTGTTGAATATGGATTTTTTTTTTTTGCTTGGACTTTGACCCAAATAGAACTTGACAAATCTTTAAATTTCACACCAGAAGAAAGTCCACTGCTTTAGTTGTAATTGTGAGTGGTTTATATTCTTCTTTGATTTTGAGGTGCATTTCTTATATCCTGTTATGATCATTTTTATGATCATATGTTGACAGAGAATATAATGGCAATTTCTATGTTTTATTTAAATTGTCAGGCTTACTAAATCAGTTATGTTACAGGACACATTGGTATATTAATTCCTTATTTCTGAGCGACAGACAGTGGGACTTGCTTGATTGGTTTGAACTGTTTGTGGCAGTTTCCATGTGTGACTGAATTTTCGTATTTTTTTCCAAAAAACCACAAGATTTGCACCAGAAGTATCTTGCAAAAGACGCTGCAAAAAAAAAAAAAAGTAGTTGTTGCTCTGCCTTTCATTGTTTTTCATGCTGCCAAGTAATTAGTGTTGTATTCCTGAATTCCTTTTTGGGTTTTGGGGTTTTTTACCTTAAGTGTCCTCATGGTTTTCATGAGATTGTTGCTTAACTGAAGTGGGCACTGTTAGAGCACCTCTTACTGGACATGGTCATGGTGCTCATTAGTGTGGTTTAGTTTGGTTCTGTTCTATAGTTCATATGTCTGTACTGCCAGCATCACCTGTAATTACTGTTAGCTTGCCTAATGAAGGGAGGAGAGTTATGATAAAACACACTTCATGGTTTAGCTGCTTTATGTAAATTCAGGACTACTGAATGCATATTTAGGTAAATTTCCTGTCTACTGAAAATTATGCTGATACTAATTCTTTGGTGCTGACCAGCTCACAAATTGCCACATAAAATTTACAATGGTAGAATAATTTCCATCTTTTCCCATTCATAACTGATTTAATCTGTTTAATTGGTGACATGGAATTATGAAAATACAAGTGACATTGGCTATATTTTTACACACGCAACTCACAGGTGATCTTGCTCAAAGCAGAAATATAAATATAAAAAGCACTGTGGAATTCAGCAGTCTTAAAATTTAAATGCATGCACAATAAAAAAGAAGGGTTTTTTTCTATCCATATCATCATAACTTTGCTGTCTCCTTCTATCCCATTAACCTTCCTATTGCTCCTAATAATTCCTGCTTCTGACCTCTATTAACGATTTTGTAGAGGAATATGAGGTGAAGACGGTAGGTAGGGAAGCAGCATTCTGTGTGTAAAATAGGTCATAATTTTGTTCTTCACTTATGATGAGGGAAGTGAGCAATTCCCTTATTCTTTCAGTTCATTTGTTTTCCTTTCATGCTTTTCTGCTCTGAGTTCACTACGACAGATTTTTGTTTTTCCTGTAGGGCATAAGAAATAATTAAGAAATTGTACTTGATATTTTCATATTCAGGGTAGAAAGCAGGCTTCTAGTTTATTATACGTAGTATGTGTGGTCCTGATGACTGTTAGTACTCTTTTTCATGAAAGTATAGCTGCACTAAATTTCACTGTCAAATAGATTCATTATGTGAAATAGAATATAAGTGCATTTTCTACCAATATTTATAAAATTGTATATCCAAATGCTTATTGCTAAACAAAACAACAAAAAAAAAGAAAAATGGAAAAGAAAAAAAGAAAAAATGGAGTGATCAAAGCAAAACTTTGTAATGTCTTTTTGTATTAAATTTTTCCTTGGATAAAGCTGTCATACTGTTGAAGTATTTATTCAAACACATATGCTTCATGAGCACACAGAGAATGAGATCTGAAGGTGGTGTAACAATTCTGAGAAAGTGACTGTATGAAGTTTTTTTTCTCTTTTGCTTCACAAGCAAATTGCTTATAAAACTAACAGCTGCTGTTTTGAAGCTAATCTTAGTGAATTGAATGTTCTTAACCATTTCTGCAATCCCACAGTCCTTTATCTTGCCTCTCCTGCTGCTTTCCCACCACCCCTGATCCCATTAGCAAAACTTGAGGCAGCCTCAGCTTTTACCAAAGTGCAGCTTTGGTTTCAGCTGCTTTTCTGCAAGAGGAAGTGAATGTTGCGCTTTTTTCTCTGTGGCATGGTTGTGATAAAGCTGTGGTGTTCTTATCTCTCTTTTAGGTAGTGGCTCTTTATGACTACACAGCGCATCGATCAGATGAGCTAACCATCCATCGCAGTGACATTATCCAAGTGTTATACAAAGATAATGATAACTGGTGGTTTGGCAGCCTAGCAAATGGACAGCAAGGCTATTTTCCAGCTAATTATGTGGCTGGTGAAAGTAAGTTTACTGCTGTCTTCCTGGTATACCGGTGTGGGTTTAACTGATGCTCCAAGATTTTACCATGCTGTTCTGCTTATTGTTCTGAAGATAGGAATTTATGTAGTACACACGTGGCATAATGATGACTTATTGTGGTGCAAAAATTGTATACAGTCAGCTAACCATTGCACTTGGTTAAACATTTCAGCTTATGGAATAAGTCAGCTTATTACTGACTTAATTATCTGTCAGCTGTATTGATCCCTTCTCTCTTCTAACACAGAGCCACCTAATTTGGGCCCCAGCTTGGCAATGTTTTAGGACACATCAGAGCATTTCGCAAACATCTTGGGTTTTTTTCTTAGGCAATTTCCATTAAATCTAGCTTTTGTACAAACTCTTAAATTTCCCCCTGCACTAATGGAGAATGTTCTGTTCCCAAATACCTGGATTTCAGTATGAAGTTTTAAAAGAACAGTAATGGTTAAAATCTCACATTTGAGCATTGAACTTGCTACCAGGTCCTTTTCATTAATACAGTTTTGATTAAACTGATGCACACAAACCTAGATGAATTTGAACAAATAATATAGGAAGCATCCTACTTAGCCCACTGCTTTTAAGATGCTCAGTGTGCTGGCAGTGGTAAATACTCAGCTTGTGGTTGTACACTATAAGAAATTCATTTGCCTTCCTAAACTATCAAACTATCAGTTATACTGGTATTTAGAAATCTTTTAACCCAACATTTCTCAAGATGGTTTCCCCCATTTTTTAGTTCCTCCCTATTTCTTTAAAGTGAAATCTAGTATTTAAGCCTCTTTCCTAAAAGATATTTTCATATAACACTGTGCTCACTTCACGAGGATAATTAAGTTAGATTTACTATAGCCTTCCCTATTGTTCTCTCCTTGTTCATCCTGTGCATTTTGCCCTACGTTTCCTCCTTGCAAAATAACCCAGAGAAGTCTGAAGGAAGATTCTTCAGTGAGGGCCTTAAAAAAAAGTTCTGAAAAACAAACAATGACAAAAAAAACTTAAAAAAAATTTTTGAGGCAGCTGTCCAACTGTTAAAAAAATCTCTGGTAAATAATTTGCTATTGCAGTTGATGATCATATTGAATCAAAAGAAATGTGTAAGATACATTTGTTAAGTATCAGCTGCTTCCTAACAGTATGGACTTTGTTCTTAGGTAAATGTATGAATGCTTTTATACAATAACAAATATATAAATCACATTTAAATCTGAACTTGCTAGTTCAGATGAATAGCAAGGTTTATGTGAGAAATTTTCATAAATTCTCATACAACATTTGCCTTCAAACATTTTTCACCTGTTTTCATTCACATCCTGGTTTTGGCTAGATTGTAATGTCATGGTGGTTCACAAATTCTTTCATAGCTCTAATAATGGCGAATTATGGTTCCTCTTTTCAGAAGAATATGAAGAACAACCTTCAGGATTAGTACCAGATTCTGCTCCTCTCCTACCAGAAGGACCAACAGAAGCAGAGGAAGGTTCTCTGACACTAGATAAGGTAATAATTTGAGAAGGAAGGATTCTGTAAGTAATGGTAGGTTGTCTTTTGTGTGCCACATGGACTGTATTAATTTTTTATCTTTTATGTAAAAAATTCTTATGTGTAAATCTCATACCAGGCAAACGGGTGTATTTTCAGCAGAAGTTTAATATTTATCTTGTGTAGAATCAACTGTTCCATCATGTGGCAATTAAATATCCTGCTTACTTCCACCGTTGTAATGGGTGGCAAGTCTCCCATTGACTCCAAGTTTACAGAAGTTATGTGTGCGTAAGCGTTCTGGTTTCTGCGATTTTTGTTAGTCAGAATATACGATATGTACAGAAGAACAAAGAAACAGGACACGGTTTTTGGTCCAGGAAAAAATAGACATTTGATTTTTATGGACTTGATTTCTTTTTCCCTGAATTTTAGAGATTCCACTATATGCAAAGCAGGACAGTTGACTCTCACTTCTCCAGAGGATTAGAAACTTTCCATGTTTATATTTCCCTTCCATGAAATAAGACTGATGATTGTCTTAAAATGTGGGATATCTTCGAGAAAAAAAAATTAGTTCAACAACTGTTGTTAGAATTTGAGAAATTTTTATTTCGAAGTGTTTGTATCCTTAATAAGTATGCTTTCCACTAACACAACTACTAAAAAAGTGTTGTTCAGGTTTCTTTCGAATTATTTGACTCTTCCATGTGCTTTTCTAAAATTGAATCTAATGTTTTGTGTCTGATTTGCAAAACTCTAACTTCTATGTAGCTTAGTTACAACTTTTGGGGACTTCTTCTCAGATGATTCATCTAATCTTTGCTCCACAGTGTATACAATCATAAAATTATTTAGGCTGGAAAAGGCATTGCAGTGTTCAAGGTTAAAACACTCAAGACTATTTCTATTGACCTTTTTTGTGCAGCTTCTGTTTTTAGTAGGTGAATATAGAGCAGTAGCATTTAATAAATTATTGAGTAAAGATTACTCACTTGGCAATCTTGTTGAAGCCAACTGCTATAAATCGAATTACTAAGTGTTTTGTTCCTAACTATCCTTGAAAAATGGAATTAATCACTACACTGAGTAGTAGTAGTTAATCTGAAGTATCCTTTACCTCTTTGTAGCTGAGAAATTCCTAGCCAAACCACTGTCCAGGAAAGACAAGAGTGCACTCCTTCCAGATACTTTTGTACAGGCAGATTTTATAATAAATATAGCAAAAATTACATTACTGAAGATTTATTTAATTTGTTGTCTACATGGCTAGAGGCAAAAAGGGTATCCCCAGTTGTAATCACCCAGTTTCACTCATACCAGGATTAGAAGAGACAGAAGAGCTGAGATACCTATTGTTATTAGACTTGGTCATTGTTATCCACATATTTTTTTCTGTTTTAATCTGATAGGAATACAGTTAATTTACTGTATCACAATGCTTTTATGTACACCAACTATGGTTACTAACATTTGCAACCCATACTTGTTATTCAGCTTTGTGAGAAGCAACATTTGACTAGTTTTGATTGCTTAAAATTTCTCAAGTGTCTATAGTTGGCATCTTTTTCTACTATCAGTACTTATTTAAGTAACACTCAGTTTTAATAATTGAATAATATTTAATTAAAATGCTCTTTACTTGAATTCTACTTGTACCTTGAGTTAAATGAGCTACATATTTAATAATTTGTTGGAATTTTGTAATAGTCTACATAGTACCTACAGACATGAGAAAGATATAATTAAGCAAATGTACAGTAGCAGTCCAAAGCCAAGCAAATACATTGCTTTTCATCTTGCAGAGCAGCCAAGGGCAGTAAAAAAATCCTACGGAGTCTAGAGGAAAGTTATGAAGCAGGTCCTGGAAAAAAATATATAAGGGAATATACATACAAGATTAAACTAGCAAATAATGAGCAGTGGAGAGAGACTACAAAGTAGTACCTGATGTGAAGTAAATGCGCTCTTCCTTCTTTTACTTTCCTTCTGCTGTTAAATGAGATCAGGGAGCATTGAGCTGGAATGGAACACATCAGTAGAAGGAAATTTTTGTTTATGCCATGCTTAGTTACCCTGGTGAACTCATCTACTACAAGACATTCTTAAATGTGTGTGCTTAGGGATTAATTGCTTTAATAACATGTTTTAGGCTGAGGTAATGGCTGAGATTTCAGAAGCATCGGAATGACTGGGAAACATGATGTGGAGGATTTTTTTAAATTTCAAGTCTCATCAGCACTCTATAAGCCATCAAGAAGATAGTGAGTTGAATCAAATGATGAATCACATCTCTGTAAGACTTATGATGCCTTGAAGTGTAATAGGTTTACAAAAGCTGCAGAGTTCTGTACAGAAGAAGCAACTTGTCATTCAGCTGTTTGTCAGAATGAATGAAAGTTGTGCAGGGCTTTGGCTTTAGGCAATAGCAGAGACTCCTGAGACAAAACTGCTAAGATGACCACTGAGGGGGCTCATCGGTTATGGCAGTTCCTGTCTTGCAGCAGTGACACAGCAACTTTTCTTCCTATTCCTTTCATTTTTTTTCAGTATAAGAGCTGATGAAGGGAAATGCCAATTTCCTTTATATGAGAAATAAGAAAAACCATTACTTTGTAAAACCTGTGTTTCGTTGGGGTTTTGTTGTTTTTTGGTTTTGTGTGTGGTGTTGTTTATATGGGATTTTTTGGTTATTTTTTTGCTTTGGCATAAAAGCTTTTATTTTTTTAATCCAAAAATATTGACTAATTAGGTTGTTGCTTAAGTTGTTGACACAAGCAGGAAAATATAAATTAATATTTTAGTTGTTTGGTTTTTGGACACAAGCATGTTTTCCCAAATATTTAGTTATACCTAGATCTGCTATATCTGCTATTCTTTCTGGGGTTTTTTTATGATTATTCATATTTAAGTGTTTAGCACTGTTAAGACTGCAAAACAGTTACTGTGAAAATCATCCTAGCAATTACTTGTGAGATTTTGCTGCCGTTCAAGACTAAATAAGGCACTTAAAATGTTCACTATGACTGTGGTTTTAATTACTGAGAATACCAGATAGTCTAATTAAGAATAGTTTTCCAACTGTAGATATTACACATACATATCTAGCTAATCGTCAGAGCTTTATGAGTGAATAAAGTGGAATTATTAACATTAGAAGAGGGTGTAATACTTAAGATCCAATATTAATCTTGGCAAATAATTTTTAGAAAAGCTTTAGTTCAAAGAACTTTCTTTCAAAATACTTTCTACCATCAGTTTTGCATTCATAACATAATAATTTTATGCAAACCTTGTTTTCCTGCCTTATGAGTTACTTAACTCCTGAGCCACAAAATTAGGTCATAATCATCTTTAATTACAACATGCATGTAAACTGCCAATAGAAATTTCATGGAGTGAAGTTCTCGCTGCACTGATGAAGAATTCCAAGAAATTGAGATGGACTTATCATCTGGCTGCTCCAGTTAATGTGTTGTTTTTAGGTTCCTTAAGATGAAGGTGGAAAGGACAGGAATTCAGATAGGATTCTATGAGAAGCCAGAATGCGGGTTTTGCAAAATTTTAGCCAATCAGAAATATTTCAAAGTCGATAGAGTGTCTTTTTTATTTCTTTCCCAGAAATTTTCTGCTGGCTGTAAGATTTTGTGGACATGTTTTATAATTCAATGGCGTGCCACTCACTACATGAAATACATGTAACTGGATTCTGAAAATTAAATATCCAATGCTGTGTTACATGAGAATAGTAGGAAGTAGTAATAGACAAAACAGTAGATTTAAAACTTCAATTAAAAGTGTAAGAAAGTATTCTTTCTGGTATATTTATCTTTGGAAAATGATGCCAAAATGTAAACTACAAAGAAAGAAAAGGCTTACTGGCAAGAACCACATTATTATTGCACAATTTTAATAATCTACCCAAAGGTCATCAAAACTTGATTCTATGTATATTTAAACAAAGTTAGGGATTATCACTCTTAACATAAATCAATCATGGTCTCACTCTTCTTCCCCTAGAGGAGGTTGTTGTCAGACCTTGTGAATCCCAGTGTGTCTGAAACTAACCTGACAAGCAATTGATGCTTTTCCCCTAAGCTTGAGCTGTTTCCATGTGGGTATTTTTGTGGGCTTAAATTTTATTTATTGAATCGAAAAATTTTAAAAGCATGGACAACTTATTCCATATTTCAAAAATAATAGCTAGAAATTTGTCTATTAAAAGTTTCATCAGAAACTTTTATTTTATAGTTTGTACTGTTTCTATTTTCTCTATTAATGGTACCTTTCTTCAGATTACTGAGGAACACTTCAGAGACTGATTATCTTTTAGGAAGAGGAGGGGGAAATAGGAAGATGTGATTATGCTAATGAGGGAAACACTAAGGAATTAATACAGTGAAACTCTTGCAGTGAATATAGCTGAAAACTTTTGACATCATGAACTGTGTTCATTTTCAAGGTTCAGAGATATAGCAGATATGAACAAAAGTGATTTTCAATTGAATTAGAATGTATTATAGTGAAGTTCATAATTCTGGGCTTCATTCCTACCTAATATGATTGCAGATCTCTCTTTCTGAAGGTATTGACATCTAGGCTGAAAGAAATTATGCTTTTCTAGAATCAATCCTCAAAGCTACTGTGTAATCTTCCACATAAATCGTTAAATAGCATTGTAAAATAGATACATCTTTACAAATCCTACTTTTGAAGTAGTAATGACTTTGGTTATTCTTTAAGAAATCGTTCATCTGAAGGAAGTGTTAGTATGGCACCATCTATGAGGAATGGGCCATTTTTCTTAATCCTTACCCAACATTAACATACTGTAGCTTTTTAGTTATTCAATTTCCTATTTCTTGGTATTCTGTTTTTCCTTTAATATGCAGTTTGTACTGTTCGAGATAGAATCATAGAATGTGAAGGGATTGGAATGGACCTTAAAGATGATCTGGTTCCAAACCCCTCTATCACAGGCCTCTATCTCCCACTAGACCAGGTTGCTCAAGGCTTTG